ATGTAAGGTGTGCTAATGTTTCATCGAGTCTCAGTTTGAAAGATTCAATGCTTGAAGCACCGACGACGTAGAATGGTAGAGAGTTCCAGGTCAAACACTCTGACTGCAAATGACTGACACTGGCACTCCAAGCGGCATTTAGAGACCGTTAGTTTTTAATGGATTTCCTCTAAGATGAACGTTGGGTGATAATTTCAGAAACGGGCGACACGGATGGCTTGGGTTTTGCATTATTTGGTGTACCATAATCATATCTCCTCTGATGCGCCGGTAGTGATTGGAATATAACTCCAGTGACTTCAATCTCTCTGCGTATGAACACCGATTCAACCCCCTGACCATTTTGGTGGCCATCCTTTGTGGAGGCTCTAGCATTTTTGTAATCACGCTGTAGCCATGGATTCCAGGCCTGGATAAGTCTGTGAGTGGTCGAATGTAAGCTGATGTGAGCGATTTCATTAAGGTGACCGGGAACGAGAAATCAACAACCTCCAGAGGTGTAGGCGCATTGACGAGGCAAAACACCTAGCCGGTCTAGTGTGATCCGCAAATTACGATTTCCCACCATGTGACGTACAAACTGAATACAAGACTAGTGGATATGCCGCAATCAGATTGAATAAGAGATGGATTGTGCGTATTGCGCACCCATCACGTGGGAACCCAGACGGGGAATTACATGTAGTGGATTGCGGAGTCGAAGCAGCAACAGCAGCAGCAGCCTTTTCTCTAGATGAAGTCTCTAAAGTCAACCTCTTTCTATGGACTGATTGATTAGAAACTGCAGCAGCCCCCAACGCGGAAACCCAATAGAATCAAACAGAGATATACGACCACGAGTTTGCGAAGTTCCACCTTCTACAGGTGACGTACCCAAAGAATGCGAAACGTCCTGTAATAGAAATTTCTGAATCTATCTCTCCCTCTCTCTAAAATGTTCCACACTTTACACGAGTTTCAGGTAATCTTCAGTTTACATAACTATTGGGTTTTATTGCTGTGCAACAGTTATGACTGCTGTCTTTCGATTACCGGGTTCGTCGATCAGCGAGGCGTTCCACTTATTTCCAACTATCACTTGGTGGAAGATAATTTGGCTCCCTATGGAATACAATTGAAATGTAATTGAGTACGGCGATTAGCGCATTGTAATGAGGTCTGCCGATTTATGCTGTTATATAGTGAAATATTAACCAAGTAAAACCCACACTGTTCTCGAGCCCCGTCAGACTTAATTACCACGTTGCTGGATGGTCATCAACTTGCGACCTAGGGGCACGACCCGTATCATACACCACTGGTTTTTGTGTAAGAAAGGAGCAAATGCATGAACGCCACAGTTTATGATGCCCGACTGTAAGACAGTGTGCCTTACATTTGATTAGATAAGTCACGAAGTGCCCAAACAGAAAGTTCAATGCAACCTACATGAACGAGTCCCGACAGACTGGATCCCAAGTCGGCAGTGAACTGCACAACGTGGGACCAGAACAAACAGGAAATTTGTTTGTTGTTGCCTGTGCGTTGTATGGCGGTTAACCGATATACGGGTTGGCTAGTGATCAACCAACACGCAGCATTGCCTCCAGCCAATGACGTCCCAGTTAGTACGACGGGAAAATGATACTGTTGGATAAGTCTTGTGAGGAAGGCACACTGATGGCAGCAGTCCAAGGAGGTGTAATTCAAGATGAGAATATGTGTAAGGGTCTATCTCTGTCACAAAGAAGCAAACAATATTGGAGATGATGAATCAGCCACGTACAACTCAGAGCTCTACAGTAAAATCACAAGGTATCTCAGGGAACCTCCACGAGGACCCCCATGGTACAGACGGTAAAAACCTACCCTGTTGTTATAATCCATTAAAAATGACCTCTACGATATCCCAAAATTGGCTGTCCGAAATCACCAATATCATCGTATCAATTACGATCTGGGTCTGACGTGCCCCTTAGCGAGGTACTTCCATTTACCGAATCACATGACAGGATCACGTGTTGGGCCTAATCGGGCGCTGCGGTCATGAAGAATAACAGTCGACCAACGCTGGCTGGCTATAACAAATGTACTGATCGGTT